TCTCTCTCTCTCTCTCTCTCTCTCTCTCTCTCTCTCTCTCTCTCTCTCAGTGATGGGGCTGAGACTAATGCTATGGATGAGCTGGATGGCACCAACCCACAAGAACTGGGGGTGCTAAACTGTAAAAAGCTTGGGCTTGCTAATTATTAATCACAGCCATTGTTAAAATTTTAATTATCTAAATTCACCCTTATTAAATTAAAGTTAATTTTAAATTTCCAACATAATGAACATTAATGAATAAAAATAAATAAATTAACCCTTACGTACACGGTATTAAAACATGGGTAGTGACCAATATCACTTCCTGGTCATTCTTCTTGGAGGTAGAGAGGTTGAAACAAGGCCTCATACTGCAGTCCAGAGTAGCTTAGAGTTCTCTAGGTAGACCAGACTGAGCTTGAATTTATTTGCAGCAATTCCCCTGCCTCTGTGTCCTGAGTGCTGGAATCGCAGGCATCAATCACCATGCTTCTATTTATCTTTCCGCTTTTGAAATTATGAGCGTTATATCAGTACAGTGGAAATCCTGAGGCTTTATAATAGTGTCTTCTGTTCTGTAGCAGTGTAGCTTGAAATCATTCTTAGGCAGAGTATTTGTACCTTGAAAATCAACAGGCGCTATAGAGAGCAAGGATTTGTTTATATTCCTTAGATCTGGTTGTTATCTATTCCCGCCCCCGCCCCCCCCCCCCACATACACTAGGATCTACCTGAAGATCCACACAAAGGAAATCTTTATACCATTTTACAACTTCTTTTTCATTTTGGGGTTCATAGCCAGGGCTTTGAGTGTATAGGAAAATTGCTCTACTCCTAAGCTATACACCCAACTCCATCTCCTTAGTTATCGAGACAGAATCTTGCTATGGAGCTCAGGTTGGCTTCAAACCCATGGTCCTCCTGTCATTCTTCTAAAAGCTATTTAAGCTTTCTTGCTGCAGGAAGGTTTACAGCTAGTAACTAGCTGCCGACTGGGGCGTGGCCTCATAAACTTTTTACCCGGATTCGGAAGCGCATTAGGCCCCTTCTCTTGTCCCCCTGGTTCCCGCTTGGCTAAGTTCGGATTGATTTGAATCTCATCTCCATCTGCCGTTCAAGTAGAGAATCCTGGTTTGCAAGTTTTTTTTTCCCTAAATAAATGTCTATCTCTCAGTTCTGAGCTAGTGTGAGACTTCTTTTAAGCACCCAATATCTCCCAATATCTCCGTCCATCACCTTTCTTTCTTTCTCTCTCTCTCTCTCTCTCTCTCTCTCTCTCTCTCTCTCTCTCTCCCTCTCCCTCTCCCTCTCCCTCTCCCTCTCCCTCTCCCTCCCCTTTCCCTCTCCCCCCTCTCTCTTTCTTGTTAGAGTTTTCATTTTTTTTAACTTGTGTGTATGCCTATACGTGTGTGTGTGTGTGTGTGTGTGTGTGTGTGTGTGCGCGCGCACGCGCGCACTAATACCTGTGGCAGCCAGAACGGATGTCAGCTTCCCTAGGGCTAGAATTACAGGTAGTTGTAAGCCTCCAGACATAGATGCTGGGAACCCAACTCTTGTCTTACTGGAAGAGCAGTAGGTGTTCTTAACTGCTGAGCTATCTCTCTAGCCCCATCAGAAATCCTTTTAAAACTAACTTAAGTTGAACTGGATGAACTCAGTAGATGTTTGTTGCTGAAAAGAACCCATGAAATTCTTCCTACCTTTGTGGTTTAGGGTATCAACCATACAAAACCATAGATGCTGTCAATCATAGATATGTTCATGACTCAGAAGAACTGTCATATTTTTTACCTAATGCATCTTGTAGGTAATATCATTGTCTACACATTTTGCCTTGCTAGCAAAAGAGGAATCACAGGAAAGAATTATCTGAGAATAATAGTGTCACTGTCCTGGCAAGAATGAAGATATTCCTAAAGCCTTGGTTCTCATCCTGTGGGGCACGGCTCCTTTGGGTGTTGAAAGACCTTTTCACAGGGGTTGCCCAAGATTTTTGGAAAACACAGATATTTACATAATGATTCATGACAGTATCAAAATTACAGTTATGAAGTAGCAATGGAAATGATTTTATGGTTGGGGGTTCACCATAACATGAGGAGCTGTATTAGAGGGTTGCAGTATTAAGAAGGTTGAGAACCACTGCTCTAAAGAGATACTCGGGCCTCCCCATTTGTCTGTCAGACTGCTGAGATAATGGACTCCAAGGATGTGGAATTTCTTTAGGAATCTCATATGAGCAGTGGGAAGAGGCTGAAGCCTGGTGACAGTCATAGGAGAAGCTTATGAAAGAGACCTCACATTCTGTCAGTCACCTGTCAGATCATCTTGCAGGAGAGACTAGAGCCCTACCAGATAATGATGGTAGAACACCTTTACAGGATTACTTAGCTATGTGAACTTCTCGCCTTTTATTTATTTTTTATAACATATTTCTTTATTGATTCCTTGGAAATTTCACATCATGCA